TTTTTTTAAAAGGGAAACATCAGGGGGCTGTTTAGACCCCTCATTGTTCCCCCAAAGCCCCAACAGTACAAAATAAAAAATAAAAATAAAAAAGAAATAAAATATAAATTAAAAATAATAAAAAAATTAAACAAAACATCCTGGAGACAGGGTACTTTTTTTGTTCTTGCCTCGGGCGCAAAAGGAGCTAGATACAGCTCTGGCCCAACTGCAAGGGTTAATTTTGTTAATTCCTGGAGTTCCTCTTTAAATGCAATCACTGTAACTACCTGAACCTGATTGGGAATTAGCCTATTGCAATCAGCGTCCACCTCTTTCTCTCCGCTCAGGTTGTGGTATTTCCCTGGGCATCCTCAGGACTGAGGGAGGGAGGAGCAGCAAAATTATGCAAACAAGGATGCTCATATGAGGAGAGAGCAGTGTGACAGAGAGATGGGCTAAACAGTCACAGGGTAAGTGTGGAGAGACCTGTGGGTACTACAGAACTGCAGCAGAGAAAAATATATAGTTTTGGATGGATTGTCAGGGCATTCAATTACCTAAACTATTTTAAAAGCGGTGTGTTATACTAATGGGATGATATTCCAAGTCCTGCACAGGGCTATGTTAGCAGCTTGTGGGCTAAGAAAGACACATACTTTCTGAACTTACTGTCCCCCTGCAAAATAGATTCTAAACTAACTAAAACATATCTGAAGTATGTTTGCAGCATTTAAACTTCACCTGGCCAGCGGTGGGTTTTTCCAGGAATACATTTAGAAGTCCATTAGCTACTTTATATCAAGTCTCTAGAATTATCTAAGCGCCAGTTAGCTGAAATATCATGTTTTGTATCTTTATTTGAACTCATACCTCTAAAAATAGATTTTACATCTACTAGTTTTAGTCTACTATGTCAAAGCCTCGTGGTACTGTGACAAATGTACTCGTTCTGTCAACAGTTCATAATTTCAAGACGGGTGATTTGTTATTATGATGAGTACAGTGGTACCTTGGTTCACGAACTTAATTAGTTCCGCGATTCTGGTCGCGAACCGATTTGGCCGCGAACTGGTAACGAACCGAATCAAACTGTGATCACACCGCGATCTTGACTAGAGGAAGCCATGACCATGTGTCAGAGCAGGGGAAATTGCTGCGATTGTGTTCGTCACCCGAAGCGGAGTTTGCGAACGGAGGCAAAATTTTGACGAACTTCCTGTTCGCGAACCGAATTGTTTGCGAACAGAAGCGTTCGTGAACCGAGGTACCACTGTATTTCAGTACTATGATAGGTATCTAAAAGTATAATGCACTTTAACCTTTCATAACTAATATTGTTTCAGATTACTTTTTAATTAACAATTTTAGGTCAGGATGAAACTTAAAAAGGTTACCCCATAGTTCTCTGCAGGGAGATGATCGAGAAGTGAGCGAGCGACGCTATGTGTTCGCTCACTTTCCGATCAATAGAGCCGACGTGTGACAGTTTAATTATCACAAGTCGGCTCGAACTATGAGAATGAGTGTAAATCACTCGCATCATAGTTCTCCTTTAAGCATAATCTTTTGCCCTGCAGAGAGAAAGATTTCTGAATGATGCAATGACAGTCATCATAGCATTGGTTTTGTGAACAAGGAGAACTATTTTTGGTGCCATCTGCTGGCAATATATGGAATAACATACAAATTTGAGATCTGTTTTCATTACCCCTTATGATGATAATCATTCCCAACTGGTATTAGCAAAAATTGCTTATGCTTGAAAATCTACAACTGTTCATGTAATTATATTAAGTTTGTTTGAACAGCCAAATAAACATGATTAATATATAGGTTCAAACTATTGGATAAACAAAATACAAGACTGTCAGTCACTGCCCCCTGCAGCGATCCCTCTCTCCCCTCTCCATACCCCCACGGCTGACTGGAGGGACAGATTAAGAAAGGGACGGGCACAGCTGGCTTTGGCTTTTCAGTACATATTGCAACATATTGCAACAAGAAACGGCTTAATAGGCACAATCATCGTTTTCGCACGTATGCACACCTGACGCATGTTTGCGTGTATGTATGGGGGGGACTTTTTTTTAAAATTGTTTTTTTTATTATTTTTCATGTGTAAAAAAATATTTTTTTAAAAGATTTTTTTTGAGACCATTTTTTCCCCCTATTTTTCTTTTTTTACACTTAACCACTTGCTGACCGCAGTGTTTACACCCCCTTCCTGGCCAGGCCATTTTTCAGTATTCAGCGCTGCGGTACTTTGACTGACATTTATTCCGTCATGCATCGCTGTACTGAAATTAATTTTATATCATTTTTTGGGAACAGATAGAGCTTTCTTTTGGTGGTATTTAATCACCACTACGGATTTTTTGTTTTTACTATGTAATAAAAATAGTACCCAAAATTTTGAAAAAAAAACAGTTTTCCCTACGTTATGTTATACAACATTTATTATTACCCAATTTTTTTGGTAAAATATAAAAGATGGGGTCACATCTGGTGAATAGACACCAAACATGTCAAGCTTTAAAATTGCGTGCGCCCGCATATTCGTAAAAAACGACCATGCCTAAAATTGGCCATAGGTGACGCTTTAAAAGCTTTTACCGCTCATCAGTTTAGTGTTATAAGTGATTGACGGCCCTAAAATTATTGCCCGCACTCCGACGTTCGCAGCGATATGTAACGTGTGGCATAATTGTTGTTTTCGCATGTAGGTGCCCCACAACGCCTATTTACGTTTATAAGTGCGTGCACGTGGGGGAGGGGGACTTAAAACAGTTTTTTATATTTTTATATGAGACTTCATTTTTTTTTCCACACTTAACTTGATTGCTATCACATTGGGGGCTTAAAATCCCCCTATGTGAGAGCCAAAAAACAATGGCAGGTCCTCTTTATGGAGACATCAGGGGTCTTTAAGCATCCGCCATCCGCCCGTTTTTTACAATGGGCAAGGGGTTAACTTTGTTATCACATAGGGGGCTAAGAACCCCCTATGTGATAGCAAAGAGATGTGACAGGTCCTCTTTATGGAGACATCAGGGGTCTCCAAGACCCCTTTCACCTAGGGACCCCTGAAGAAGCTGATGAAGCAGAGAAGCGGTTAAAGAACAGCAGCTCTTAGACTGCTCCCTACAGAGTCTCTCCTTCTCCTCTGAAGTGGTCTGGGAATTCTTGAGTCATCACACCCAGTACAGTGTATTGACCCTAGGCAAAAACGAGCAGTTAACCCTTGCAGTGCTGGGGTAGTCCCTAGAATGAGGCAGCCTGAGGCGGTTGCCTCAGGCGGCATTTCATTGGGGGGCGCACAGCATCCCAGGTTGCTAAGAGCTCTTAGCAGCCTGTGACGCAGTGTGCGGCTTTCTGCCCAGCTCACTGACATCATCGGTTCATCCCCGCATCAGG